ATGATGGGACACTATTCCTTCCACTGACACCAATGATGGGACACTATTCCTCCTACTGACACCAATGATGGGGCACTATTCCTCCCGCTAAAGTCAACAATGGGGGAATATTCCTCTTATTAAAACCAATGGTGGACCATTTTCTACTCCCACCGGCCACAGTCCGGCCCCCTAAAGCCTTAAGGACAGTCAACTGGCCCTTTGTTTTAAAAGTTTGCTGTAGATGATCCTTGAAAACTCATTTATTTAGGGAGGCCCACCCCACCTCCACCTAAGAACTGTACCCGAGTCACCTCCATCAGGTCATCCCCTGCAACCTATCACCTTCTGTACCACCTCCCCTCCCTTTAGATTGTAAGCTCCATGAGCAAGGCCCTCCAATTCCTTCTGTACCGAACTGTATGGTAATTGTACCGCCCCCCTTCTATTGTAAAGCGCTGCGCAGACTGTTGGTGCCATAATTCCTGTATAATAATAAAATTAATAATAATGAAGAGGGGATTACCCCTCAAAACGCGTCAGCCTGTTTGGAAGGTATTCACGTATTTGGGGTTCGCCCCGTTAGACCAGCCGTTTCCATGTCCATTACAATGTTCGATGTGCCTTTCTACTCCTTTTATTACAAATTAAACCATTATTGAGGCAATGCGCCAGGCTGGTGCGCCCTCCATTCCTGGTCTTTGTCTGTCTGTTGATGCACGTCTCTGAAGCGCAGGGGCTTGTTCTTCTTTTGCGTCTGCTGACTCACCCCTGACATCGGAGGGCGCTACCTAAAAGGGGGCCTAACACCTGGTGTCACTACCTGCCATACCAGACACTATTCTGCTACAGAGCCACCTAGTGGATAAGTAGCTAACTGCACCTGCCTACAAGCTGAACATGGAAGCTGATTGGTTGCCACACACAGCTGCTCTAGTTTTGATCAATGTCCCCCTCCGTCCGTTTTTCACACTGCAGCTCCACCGCGGTGCACAGGATTACATAACAAGTCATTTTGACGTTTCAGTAAACCAAATGGTGGGAATTTACTGCTTCCCTACCACCCTATACAGGGTGGACTGACAACTCATGGGGCCCCCGGGCAATAGGGGATCATGGGGCCCCTGTGTCCTTGCCCAAACTCAAAAAAGCCTATGAAAAAGAGGCATCTCATGGGGCCCCTTACTGACCCCGGGCCCTCGGGCAGTGCCCGAGTTTTCAAATGGTCAGTCCGCCCCTGACCCTATAGCAGAACTACTGCTGCAGAGCGGCCCAAAATCACATATATACACGTGATTTTACATTTCCGGGTAAGGGGCGCGCGCCCTGACCTGACGCACGTGTGACAGACCTCTCCCCTGTCAGTGATACTCAGCGATCGCCGGGTGCTGGCGGGGAATCTCTGGACGGGACCCGGCGATCGACATCTGTAGCTGCCACCACTGCTGGCGGCTTCAGATGTCGATCGCCGGGTCCCAGCCGGAGATTTCCCACCAGCACCCAGCGATAGCCGAGTATCAGTGACAGGGGAGAGGTCTGCGAGTAAACAACACAGGTCTCTCTCCTGCCAGCAAGGACATGCTGCTTTGTATCTCTCTGCACAGCATGTCTCCCTAGTAACACACACAGCACACAGTTAACCCTTTGATCGCCCCAGATGTTAACCCCTTCCTGTCCTTAGTACAGTGTCAGGGATTTTTTATTAGCACTGATCACTGTATTGGTGTCACTGGGGATGTCGGTGACACCAAGTCAGTCCCCCCCCGTCAGAATTCCCACCACAGTCCCGCTATATGTCACTGATCGCCGCCATTACTAGTAAAAACAAAACAAAAAATCCAAGTATATTTGCCATTTGTAGACGCTATAACGTTCACGTATTTACAATTAATTTACACGTAGTGGGATTTTTTTTCAGCAAAGACATGGAGCGAGATACAATGTTTGCCGAAATTTGATTTTTTTTTTTTACTGGATATGTTTGATAGCAAAAAAGTAAATTTTTAAAAAATTGTTTTTAGCACAAAAAAATAAAAAAAAGCACAGATGATCAAATACCACCGAAAGAAAGCTCCATTTGTGGGGGAAAAAGGACATAAAATTCATTTGGGTGCAGCGTCGCATGACCGTGCAATTGTCAGTTAAAGTAAAGTGGCGCCATATCGCAAAAAATGGCCCAGTCAGGAAGGGGGGGTGGGGGTGATCCTCTGGAGTTTGCATTCTCATGCACTGTACTCTCTTGGCTGCATCTCCTAGCTGTATATCTGATCTCCGCCCCCCCATCCCTCCCATAGGCCCTACCCTCTTCCACTCTGTACACTTTAATATCTCTTCCCCTCCTCCACTCTCTGCACACCGGTCCCCTCCTGCCGCTCTAAGGCCTCTGATCCCTGGGTTGCTCTCCTGCCGCCTCTGCCTTTTTCACCTGCCATCCGTCAGCCGTCTAAACTCTTGGTTTCCAAGAGGCCGCCAGCCTCCTAGCAACCGGAGACACATCCCTGACCCCATTCATCTGCTGGCTTTGAGATTCCCCAGCCAGTAAGTGAATGTAAATGAAGGGGAGGGGACATCGGCTTATGTCCTCACCCAAATGACAATGGCCACGCCCCTTGGCTTACCTTCACCCTTCGGCCGAGGAACATCCCGACCAGCAGCTGAACGAGGGCCAGGGATGCGTCTCTGGTTGCTAGGATACTGTCAGCTGTGTAGCAAACATCGTCCTAGCAACCAGTGATGCTTTTTAGTGCTGCCGGCACTCCGACCTCAGTGCACCCCCTTCTCCTTGGCGATGGATCCGTCTACCTTTCCAGACAGGTCCATGATTCCTGTCACTCGGACTGACACCAGAATTCATATGTCTTTGACACGCTGTGGACTCATTCATGCAACTGCATGAAAAGAAAATACTGTATATCATGGAAGGAAATACTGTATATCTGAAATGCTACAATTTGGGCCGTATTCAATATATTTCAAAAAGCATCATAAAGGAGGAAACCCAGTCTTTGGTCATGTCCATGGGTTCCGGACTTCAGGCAAAGCATCAGAAAGGAGGAAACCCAGTCTTTGGTCATGTCCATGGGTTCCGGACTTCAGGCAAAGCATCAGAAAGGAGGAAACCCAGTCTTTGGTCATATCCATGGGTTCCGTACTTCAGGAAAAGCATCAGAAAAGAGGAAACCCAGTCTTTGGTCATGTCCATGGGTTCCGGACTTCAGGCAAAGCATCAGAAAGGAGGAAACCCAGTCTTTGGTCGTGTCCATGGGTTCCAGACTTCAGGAAAAGCATCAGAAAGGAGGAAACCCAGTCTTTGGTCATATCCATGGGTTCCGTACTTCAGGAAAAGCATCAGAAAAGAGGAAACCCAGTCTTTGGTCACGTCCATGGGTTCCGGACTTCAGGCAAAGCATCAGAAAGGAGGAAACCCAGTCTTTGGTCGTGTCCATGGGTTCCAGACTTCAGGAAAAGCATCAGAAAGATGGAAACCCAGTCTTTGGTCATATCCATGGGTTCCGTACTTCAGGAAAAGCATCAGAAAAGAGGAAACCCAGTCTTTGGTCGTGTCCATGGGTTCCGGACTTCAGGCAAAGCATCAGAAAGGAGGAAACCCAGTCTTTGGTCGTGTCCATGGGTTCCAGACTTCAGGAAAAGCATCAGAAAGGAGGAAACCCAGTCTTTGGTCATATCCATGGGTTCCGTACTTCAGGAAAAGCATCAGAAAAGAGGAAACCCAGTCTTTGGTCACGTCCATGGGTTCCGGACTTCAGGCAAAGCATCAGAAAGGAGGAAACCCAGTCTTTGGTCGTGTCCATGGGTTCCGGACTTCAGGCAAAGCATCAGAAAGGAGGAAACCCAGTCTTTGGTCGTGTCCATGGGTTCCAGACTTCAGGAAAAGCATCAGAAAGGAGGAAACCCAGTCTTTGGTCATATCCATGGGTTCCGTACTTCAGGAAAAGCATCAGAAAAGAGGAAACCCAGTCTTTGGTCACGTCCATGGGTTCCGGACTTCAGGCAAAGCATCAGAAAGGAGGAAACCCAGTCTTTGGTCGTGTCCATGGGTTCCAGACTTCAGGAAAAGCATCAGAAAGATGGAAACCCAGTCTTTGGTCATATCCATGGGTTCCGTACTTCATGAAAAGCATCAGAAAAGAGGAAACCCAGTCTTTGGTCACGTCCATGGGTTCCGGACTTCAGGCAAAGCATCAGAAAGGAGGAAACCCAGTCTTTGGTCACGTCCATAGGTTCTGGACTTCAGGCAAAGCATCAGAAAGGAGGAAACACAGTCTTTGGTAATGTCCATGGGTTCCAGACTTCAGGCAAAGCATCAGAAAGGAGGAAACACAGTCTTTGGTCATGTCCATGGGTTCCAGACCTCAGGCAAAGCATGAGAAAGGAGGAAACCCAGTCTTTGGTCATATCCATGGGTTCCAGACCTCAGGAAAAGCATGAGAAAGGAGGAAACCCAGTCTTTGGTAATGTCCATGGGTTCCGGACTTCAGGCAAAGCATCAGAAAGGAGGAAACCCAGTCTTTGGTCATGTCCACGGGTTCCAGACTTCAGGCAGTCATTGCCAATAAAGGATTCTCAACAAAGTATTACAAATGAACATTTTATTTACAATTATATTCAATTGTCCAATGACATTTGAGCCGACGAAAATGGAGGGACTGTGTATAAAAATGGTTGCAGTTCCTAAAATTTGTACTTGTATTTATGTTCAGCCCCTTAAATTAAAGCTGAAAGTCTGCACTTCACATTCATTTGGATTGTTTCATTTTAATGTATTCTGGTGGCATACAGAGCCAAAAGTATGAAAATTGTGCCCAAATATATATGGACCTAACTGTATATCCTCCATCACCTAACACAAATAAATACATATAAATACTATCCAAATGTGGTAAAACTATACATTAAATTGACACCCTGACCCCTAACTGAAGAAGGGAAGATGAGAAGAAAAAAAAATATTATTATTATTATTAATAATAATAATAATAATACTGTATAATGCTCAAAAAATATCCAGAAATACACTATGTTGCCAGAAGTATTGGCCCCGCCCTCCCAATCATGTGATTCAGGTGTTCCAATCCCCTCCCAATCATGTGATTCAGGTGTTCCAATCCCCTCCATGGACACCGGTGTATACAATCAAGCCCCTAGGCATGCAGACTGCTTCTACAAACATTGGTGAAAGAATGGGTCGCTCTCAGGAGCTCAGTGACTCCAAGCGTGGTCCCGTGATAGGTGGCCACCTGGGCAATAAGTCCATCCGTGACATTTCCTGGCTACTAAATATTCCACCAACTGTTAGTGGGATTATAACAAAGTGGAAGCAACTGGGAACAACAGCCACTCAGCCACCAAGTGGTAGGCCACGTCACATGACAGGGCGGGGTCAGCGCATGCTGAAGCGCACAGTGCGCAGAAGTCGCCAACTGTCTGCAGAGTCAATAGCTAAAGACCTCCAAACTTGGTGTGGCCTTCAGATGAGCCCAACAACAGTGCGTAGAGAGCTTCATGGAATGGGTTTCCATGGCCGAGCAGCTGCATCCAAGCCTTCCATCACCAAGTGCAATGCAAGGTGTCGGATGCCGTGGTGTAAAGCACGCTGCCACTGGACTCTAGAGCAGTGGAGACGTGTTCTCTGGAGTGACCAATCACGCTTCTCTGTCTGGCAATCCAATGAACGTGTCTGGGTTTGGTGGTTGCCAGGAGAACGGTACTTGCCTGACTGCATTGTGCCAAGTGTAAAGTTTGGTGGAGGGGGGACTACGGTGTGGGGGCGTTTTTCAGGGGTTGGGCTGGGCCCCCTAGTTCCTGTGAAGGGAACTCTTAAGGTGACATTTTGGACAATTTCATGCTCCCAACTTTGTGGGAAGAGTTTGGGGATGGCCCCTTCCTGTTCCAACATGACTGCCCACCAGTGCACAAAGTAAGGTCCATAAAGACATGGAGGAGCCAGTTTGGGGTGGAGGAACTTGACTGTCCTGCACAGAGTCCTGACCTCAACCCCATAGAACACCTTTGGGATGAATTAGAGCGGAGACTGCGAGCCAGGCCCCCTCCCCCGACATCAGTGCCTGACCTGAGAAATGTGCTTCTGGAAGAATGGTCCAACCTTCCCATAGACACCCTCCTAAACCTTGTGGACGGCCTTCCCAGAGGAGTTGATAGCTGTTATAGCTGCAAAGGGCGGGCGGGGGAAAGCCAACTCAATATTGAACCCTACGGACTAAGACTGGGAGGCATTAAAGGTCATGTGCGGGGGAAAGGGCGGGGCCAACTCAATATTGAACCCTACGGACTAAGACTGGGGGGCCATTAAAGGTCATGTGTGTGGAAAGGGTGGGGCCAACTCAATATTGAACCCTACGAACTAAGACTGGGAGGCATTAAAGGTCATGTGCGGGGGAAAGGGCGGGGCCAACTCAATATTGAACCCTACGGACTAAGACTGGGGGGGCATTACGACGTTACCAGGAACAGTAAAAAAAATCGGCCGATTTTCATCCTGTCTACAGCCGGCAAAAAGTGTCTCTGCAGAGAGCTCCGCTATTTCTTTGACATTTATAGCGGCTGCAACAATGTATCTATTTGTATCGGATACAGATGGTTTTATTCGGAAACAAATAGATACATTGTTGCAGCCGCTTCTTCTTCTTCTTCATCCTCTTCTTCTTCATCTTTTTCTTCTTCATCTTCATCTTTCTTCTTCATCCTCTTCTTCTTCTTCATCTTCTTCTCTCCTCTTATTCTTCATCCTCTTCTTATTCTTCATCTCTTCTTCTACTTCTTTGTCTTCTTCTTCTTCATCCTCTTCTTTTTCTTCATCCTCTTCTTCCTCTTCTTCTTCTTCTTCACCCTCTTCTTCTTCTTCATCCTCTTCTTTTTCTTCATCCTCTTCTTCCTCTTCTTCTTCCTTCTTCTTCTTCATCCTCTTCTTCTTCTTCATCCTCTTCTTCATCCTCTTCTTCTTTCTTTTCTTCTTCTTTTTGTCTTCCTCTTGCAGGTCACGGCTCATGAGCAGATTTTTTTATCGGTAAAAAGATCGGGCAATTTGCCCATCATTGCCGCGAAAATCAGCCAATTTTTTTCCAACTTTACCGATAAAAAATATTGCCAAAATACCGAAAAACGGCCGACCTATTAACCCACTAACGATCCGAAAATCGGCCGATTTTCGACCCATCTATGACCTGCATAAGACTGGGGGGCCATTAAAGGTCATGTGTGTGGAAAGCAGGCGGCCCAATCCTTTTGGCAATTTGGCAATATAGTGTATATATACATACACACCTACATATATGTGTTTAGTCACTGCCATCCATATCCATGTGTATAAACACATATGTGTACCAATCCCCACATGTATATGTATACACAGATATATATATGACACACATTGCAGATATGTAGTATGAAGGTTTGTCCATCATGTGACATCAAATATACGTATAAATGTATGAATTCCGAGGAACATCTGATGTGTTCTGCCTCGTCTTCCCTGTAGGTGGCAGCAGAGTGTAAACAAAACTCAGCGGACTGCCCTGTCCTTCCCCGGGATGTGTCCCGACATGTCTGCACCAGAGGCGGACTGACAACTCATGGGGCCCCCGGGCAATAGGGGATCATGGGGCCCCTGGGCAATAGAGGATCATGGGGCACCCCGAGCAATAGGGGATCATGGGGCCCCCGGGCAATAGGGGATCATGGGGCCCCTGTGTCCTTGCCCAAACTCAAAAAAGCCTATGAAAAAGGTACCAGGGGCATCTCATGGGGCCCCCTACTGACCCAGGGCCCTCGGGCAGTGCCTGAGTTTCCAAATGGTCAGTCCGCCCCTGGTCTGCACTTTTTTATTTCTTCAGTGGGATTCACACTTCAAGCAGCAGATCGCACGTTCCTACTCTTTGTTGCGTGTTTCTCGTGCGTTTCTGTGCATTGCGCCTAGAGTGGCCCGTTTGCTTGCATGGGTGGCCCTTTGCGTGACAAACGCACCAAAGAAGCTCCCAAACTAACTCCAGGCATCAGACTTTGCAAGCCGTGCGAAGCGCGCCGAAGAGTATCTGTAGCATTTGTCGCAGCACAGCACATCCGCTAACCGCATCAATGTCGCTTTCATCCCAAGTCGCACCAATGTCGCACTCATCCAAAGTCGCACCAATGTCGCACTCATCCAAAGTCGCACCAATGTCGCACTCATCCAAAGTCGCACCAATGTCGCACTCATCCAAAGTCGCACCAATGTCGCACTCATCCAAAGTCGCACCAATGTCGCACTCATCCAAAGTCGCACCAAAGTCACACTCATCCAAAGTCACAAAAGTCACACTCATCCAAAGTCACACCAAAGTCACACTCATCCAAAGTCACACCAAAGTCACACCAAAGTCACACTCATCATCAAAGTCACACCAAAGTCGCACTCATCCAAAGTCACACCAAAGTCGCATTCATCCAAAGTCACACCAAAGTCGCACTCATCCAAAGTCACACCAATGTCGCACTCATCCAAAGTCGCACCAAAGTCACACTCATCCAAAGTCACACCAAAGTCACACCAAAGTCACACCAAAGTCACACTCATCCAATGTCACACCAATGTTGCTTTATTCCAAAGTCACACCAAAGTCGTACTCATCCAAAGTCACACCAAAGTCACACTCATCCAAAGTCCAAAAAGTCACACCAAAGTCACAAAGTCACTCATCCAATGTCTGTTGCATTAATCCAAAGTCGCACCAAAGTCACACTCATTCAAAGTCGCACCAATGTCGCACTCATCCAAAGTCGCACCAATGTCGCACTCATCCAATGTCACACCAATGTTGCTTTAATCCAAAGTCACACCAATGTCGCACTCATCCAAAGTCGCACCAATGTCGCTTTCATCCAAAGTCGCACTCATCCAAAGTCGCACCACGGCTCGTTACACCCAAGGTATGCAGAATACCATCTCTGAACGCACAACACGTCCAACCTGGAAGCAGATGGGCTACAGCAGCAGAAGACCACACCGGGTAGCAAGGTGTATCTAATAAAGTGGCCAGTCAGTGTATCTGAATGTAATAAAACCTTTCCTCAGCCTGCAGCCGCTGTCATGTTCTGTAAAATGTAATATGGTAGATGGTGAAGGAAACCATCAGTGCCCATCAGTGCCTCCTCATCATGTCCATCAGTGTCCACCTATCAGTGCCACAGTGCCACCTATCAGTGCCCATCAGTGCCCATCAGTGCCACCTATCAGTGCCCATCAGTGCCTCCTCATCAGTGCCCATCAGTGCCACCTATCAGTGCCCATCAGTGCCTCCTCATCAGTGCCCATCAGTGCCACCTATCAGTGCCCATCAGTGCCTCCTCATCAGTGCCCATCAGTGCCTCCTCATCAGTGTCCCATGTGTCCATCAGTGCCCATCAGTGCCTCCTCATCAGTGTCCATCAGTGCCTCCTCATCAGTGTCCATCAGTGCCACCTATCAGTGCCCATCAGTGCCTCCTCATCAGTGCCATCAGTGCCAGCCTATCAGTGCCCATCAGTGCCTCCTCCTCATCAGTGTCCATCAGTGCCACCTATCAGTGCCCATCAATGCCTCCTCATCAGTGCCCATCAGTGCCTCCTCATCAGTGTCCATCAGTGCCTCCTCCTCATCAGTGCCCATCAGTGCCTCCTCATCAGTGCCCATCAGTGCCTCCTCATCAGTGTCCATCAGTGCCCACCTATCAGTGCCCATCAGTGCCTCCTCATCAGTGTCCATCAGTGCCTCCTCATCAGTGCCCATCAGTGCCATCAGTGCCCATCAGTGCCACCTATCAGTCCTCATCAGTGCCCATCAGTGTCACCTATCAGTGCCCATCAGTGCCTCCTCATCAGTGTCCATCAGTGCCACCTATCAGTGCCCATCAGTGCAGCCTCATCAGTGCCCATCAGTGCCTCCTCATCAGTGCCCATCAGTGCCACCTATCAGTGCCCATCAGTGCCTCCTCATCAGTGCCATCAGTGCCTCCTCATCAGTGCCCATCAGTGCCCATCAGTGCCTATCAGTGCCCATCAGTGCCTCCTTCAGTGCCCATCAGTGCCCATCAGTTTCCATCAGCCTATCAGTGCCCATCAGTGCCACCTATCAGTGTCCATCAGTGCAGTCTATCAGTGCCCATCAGTGCAGCCTATCAGTGCCCATCAGTGCAGCCCCATTAGCGCACATCAGTGAAGAAGAAAAATCACTTATTTACAACATTTTATAACAAAAACTAAGAAAAAAACTTGTTTTTTTTCAGAATTTTCAGTGGTTTTTGGTTTGTTTAGCAAAAAATAAAAATCCCTGAGGTGATGAAATACCACCAAAATAAAGCTCTATCTGTCTCAAAAAAAATGATAAAAATGTCATATGGGTGCAGTGTTGCATGACCGCGCAATTGTCATTCAAGTTGTGACAGCGCTGAAAGCTGGAAATTGTCCTGTAGGCAGGAAGGGGGTAGAAGTGCCCGGTAGGCAGGAAGGGGGTAGAAGTGTCCTGTAGGCAGGAAGGGGGTAGAAGTGCCCCTAGGCAGGAAGGGGGTGACAGTGCCCGGTAGACAGGAAGGGGGTAGAAGTGCCCATCAGTGCGGGGAAGGGGGTAGAAGTGCCCTGT